AACAGACATATAGATCAATGGAACAGAACAGAGAACCCAGAAGTGGACCCTGAACTTTATGCTCAACTAATATACAATAAAGGAGGAAAGACGATCCACTAGAAGAAAGACAGTCTCTTCAATAAATGGTGCTGGGAAAATTGGACATCCACATGCAGAAGAATGAAACTGGACCACTCTCATGCACCATACACAAAGATAAACTCAAAATGGATGAAAGATCTAAATGTGAGACAAGATTCCATCAAAATCCCAGAGAAGAACTCAGGCAACACCCTTTTTGAACTTGGCCACAGTAACCGGAGAAGGACAAACAGTGTATGTTCTCCTTCATTTGGGGAATATGAATAATAGCGAAAGGGAATATAAGGGAAGGGAGAAGAAATGTGTGAGAAATATCAGAAAGGGAGACAGAACATAAAGACTTCTAACTCTGGGAAATGAACTAGGGGTGGTGGAGGGGGAGGAGGGTGGGGGGTGGGGGTGAATGGGTGCCGGGCACTGAGGGGTACACTTGACGGGATGAGCACTGGGTGTTATTCTGTATGTTGGTAAATTGAACACCAATAAAAATTAATTTATATATTTTTTTTAATTTTTATTTATTTATGATAGTCACACACAGAGAGAGAGAGAGGCAGAGACACAGGCAGAGGGAGAAGCAGGCTCCATGCACCATGAGCCAGACGTGGGATTCGATCCCGGGTCTCCAGGATCGCGCCCTGGGCCAAAGGCAGGCGCCAAACCGCTGCGCCACCCAGGGATCCCTAAAAATTAATTTATAATAAAAAAAAGGAAATTGTGTAGTAAGAAAGCTATTTCAGGTAACAAATAAATGTGCCTGGGGCCCAACATTGATTCAATGGAAACAAAGGCCAAAATGACATTTTGGATGATTTCCACAAGGAATGCCTAAGGGAGGGAGAAATAAATTAACCACTATGAATCATAAATTCTGTATTGAGAGTAGCAGCAATGGATGCAAGAAAAGAGAAAACATAACCCAGGACCACTTTGCATATTCAGAAAACTCTACCAAATTGGGGTTTAGTTTTACTAGCTTCAACCATATATATGGATTCATAGGCTTTCCTTCTAATAACAACTTAAAGAAAGAATTTATTGTTATCAAGCAATAATCTCTATAAAAATCCAAGGAGGTAGGCCCTGCTATCATCACTGATTATAGAAACTGATAGAAAGGGGAAACGGGTGAGGAAACAGAGAAATGGAAAGATACCGATACATTGGAAAGCCAGTAATAATAAGAACTGACTGATTTCCCAGATCATGTTCTTAAATGCTGTTAAATGTCAGGCAAATATACTAGTTCATTATCTACAACAAAAAAGCCTAATAGTTTTTCAGGAATAGCAGCTTGTTTTTACATTTCACAATTGATTGTACATGTTGCCTATAACATTATGGCATGTAACTGTTTAGGGTTATAAAAGACTTAGTTAGCCATTTAACCTCTAAAGGGGTAGGTGAAAAAATAAATAAATAAATAAATAAATAAATAAATAAATAAATAAATAAATAAATAAAGGGGTAGGTGAAGATTAGGCCAGGCTTCCAAGTTCCCTTGTAGGCTTCAGAACCTAATTTTTGTATTGCTCATATCAGCCATCTTACACCGTTACCCTATCAGAAAGAGTAATGACTCAAAGAATATTTTGATTTCAGACAGAAAATTCTATTTATTAAATATACAGTCATACTCTCTTGTACTTGTCTACTACATAACAATAGCCTCTACGAGGTAGCATGATGTCTGGTGCACAATAAATATTGAGTGAATGAATGAATGAAAAGTATAAAGGAAGATGAATAAATTCAAAAATAAAGAGCAAGAAAGTAGTACTGGAAGCTAGGGAATTCTTTCCCACTTTTATCTGATTCAACTCTAAGGAGAATTCTGGCTAGGGCTCTCAGGGGAACTACAATTTGTTTTTATTCCTGCTTATACTGAGGATGGAAAATAAATTTAAACTATAATTCTCAATATATAAGCAGATAGTTTACCTTGATATTCTCCCACCTTCGGTGACATTTTAGTATCTTATGAATGTGGCCTGCTTATGTTATGATTTTTTGTTAATCAGCTTACTTTCTTAAAGATTTTATTTATTCATTCATGAGAGACACACAGAGAGAAAGAGAGAGAGGCAGAGACACAGGCAGAGCTGAAGCGGGCTCCCTGTGGGGAGCCCCATGGGGGATGCAATCCCAGGACCTTGGGATCACAGCCTGAGCCAAAGGCAGATGCTCAAACACTGAGCGACCCAGGTGTCCCAATCAGTTTAGTTTTTGGTACCACATCTTTATTAAAATATGTGGCTCTTTCTAAACACAAGTCTCAGGATAAACATATCCCATTCGTTCCTTTTGTCCTTCCTTAATTGTCAACAAATATTTTTGAGCCCAAGAAATGTATCAGGCATATTGATAGCTGCTGGGGCTTCAGTGGTGAATAAAAAGAGAACCAGATTCTCCCTTCACAGACCTTAGAATCCATTGAAAGATTCCCAGGAGGAAATTTTACAAGTGTTACAAATGGTAAGAGAGTGGAGTCACAAGGTGCTATGAAACTACATTGGAGAGACATATAGAATCAGAAGATTCCTAGATGAAAAAACATAACAAACAGAACCCAGTGGTGGAAATAAGTCAATTGGCAGAGTGTCCTGAAAGATGGAATACATAAAAAAGGCCAGGAGGTAACAAAGAGTATGGAGGAAACCTTGTCAATTCAATATGGCTAACCAATTCAAAAACATTGAAAGTTTGTTTTTAATCCAGGGAGTGGTATAGTTAGATTTGAGTTTCAGAATAACTCTGGCTACAGTGTGGGAAATGGTTTGAAGGGGATAAGACTAGCTAAGGAGAGTAGTTAGAAGCTGCAGTGATGATTTGGATGTGAAAGTTTGGAGGGCTACACTCTGGTAGTGTCAGAACCTTGAGTATATAGATGGCAATTAAAGCCATAAAAGTATCAGATGTCAGTTATGGAAAGTGTGATTTGGTCAACTATGGGTGGTCTTCAGTAGTCTAATCAAATAGCCATTTTGACAGTTTTAGAAAGAAAAAAGCAAAAAAATATCCAAAAATCAAACTATAGAAATGTCAATTTGTCTATTATTAGAAATTCAGTAGGATACCAAATCTATAAAACAAAAAAAGGCTATGAAATATATTTTAAAAATCAGATTGGCATCAGAATTTTTGTTAGCAAAAGTAGAAATTAGGAGCTAATGAAAAAAATCTTTAATGTTCTCAAGGAAAAAAGCTGTAACCAGTAATTCTGTATCATGCAATATAGAATTTAAATATGAGAATAATATTCATTTTCAGACATGCAAAGACTCATAAATTTTATTGGTCAAAAATTAAACCTCAGCAAAACTGAATTCAAGGCATTCAAACCATGCGCCATGACCAAGGGGGATTAGCCCCATGATGCTAGATTTGAGTTTAAAATATGCAAATAAATTTGATATTGATTTTTTTTATTTTTATTTTATTTTTATTGGCTAGAAATATTTAATATATCAATAATGTGACAATATCATGAAGGATCAAAAATCATGATGTGTAAATAATGGTTATAGTAACTGAAAATATTTAATCCAGAGAAGAAAAGACTTGGGAAACACATGATAGCTATTTTTATATATACTTTAAAGGGCAATCACAGGGAAAAAGGACTAGATTTCCTATTTACATGGTGAAATTTATAGAAGCATACTCTTTGACTTGATATAAAGGAAGATTTTTTATTTATTATTGTTAAATATGTAGATAGTCTTTTTAAGATTATATTTATTTATTTATTCATGAAAGATGAGAGAGAGAGAGAGAGAGAGAGACAGAGACAGAGACACAGGCAGAGGGAGGAGCAGGCTCCATCCAGAGTGTGTACTTGAGGGAAGAGGCCGGAAAGACATCTAGTGGTATTGACACTGCCACCTCCATGGATGACTTCCCAATGAGTTTCAGTGGCACTTCTGCAGGCAGGTTCCAGGGAATCTCACAGGCACCCAGAAATCAGGTTTTCAGTTCAGTCGATCTGCACCATAATTGGGGTGTTTTCCACCAGCCTTGTTTCCTGCTTGTCAGTCCAGGCCACAGTCCTCTGTTTACCTGCCTCAGACAACCAGTGACCCAGTGGGATGTTCCCACCTTACTAGTCCCATTTTTGCCTGTCAGTCTCTCTCCATCTACCATGAACTAGTTCTGGCCCAAGACAAGCTAGTGAACTTCACCATCCAATGGGCAACAACTACTCCTTCTCCAAAAGATGAATCCCTGCCTTGGAGAAGGATTTCACCTTCTAAACATGTTCCTTTCTTTGATATTCATCTCTCAGTCACAGGGCATTCTCTGGAGTAATCATTAGCCATTTCCAGTTAATGTTCTGATATAACAAACAGTTGTGTGTAAACATCCCCTTTTCAAATTACTGTGTTATCTGTCTCCTATATGGGCCTTGAATGGTATAATATGGAAAATACCTAATACACCTATAGGCCTTATAGGCATTTGATAAATACTATCTATTTTTACTGTATAATAAAAATTTAATAAACAAGAAAATTCACAAAAGAAAGAAGTTATATTGATACCCGAGCCCAAAATAAAGGAACATCATACCCTGTTATTCTCAATAATCAGTAGTATTCAATATCTCACTGTTATATAACATTATTTTAATACCTATCCAATATTCTAGATTCATGTGTTCTAGCTTCTAAAGATATTTGAGATTTTCAAGTAATAGGTAAATATTTATGGATTAAAAAGCAGTAAGTTGTGATGACAAGAGTATGGGATAAGAGACAGGAAGTCTGGAGTCCAGTCCAAGCCGTAGTTCTGTGCTTAAGTGGTTATCTGCTGATGTTTTCCAACTCCTTATTAGAGTTGATGTCTTCATCTGTAGATCAAGAGGCTTGCACTAGATTACCTCTATTACTTCTAGGTGTGGTGCTCAAAGATTCTGTTTATTCATTATCTGAAGTCACTTTTTTTCTCCAGAGCTTCCTCATAGCATTTTTTACCTCAGCATTTCTGAGGGTGTAGATTAAGGGATTTAACATTGGGACCACCATAGTGTAAAAGACAGCAACAGCTTTATCAATGGGCAGAGTGGTCACTGGACGCAGATACACAAATATGCAGGGCACAAAGAACAAGACAACCACTGTAATGTGAGAGACACAGGTGGAAAGGGCTTTGCGCCTCCCCTCCAAGCTATAGCTCTTTAGGGAGTACAGGATGACCACATAGGACACCACCAATAGGAGGAAGTTTAAAAGGCAGATGAAACCACTGTTGACAGCAACAAAGAGACCAAGGGTATGAGTGTCCATGCAAACAAGTTTCAACAAAGGGTACAAATCACACATGAAATGATCTATGACATTAGGGCCACAGAAGGGCAGCCAGACTGTGAAGAGGATCTGAATGGTTGCATGGAGAAATCCTCCAGTCCAGGCCACGCCCAGCAGGAGAATGCACAACCTATGGTTCATGACAGTAGTATAGTGAAGAGGTTTGCAGATGGCCACATAGCGATCATAGGCCATCACTGTCAGCAGGATGATCTCCGTAGCACCAAAAATGTGTTCTGCATAGACTTGAGCCATACACCCACTAAAGGAGATAACTTTCTTTTCATGAAGGGAGTCCACAATCAGCTTAGGAGCTGAAGAAGAAGAATAAATTGTGTCTATCACGGAAAGATGAGTCAGAAAGAAGTACACGGGGGAGTTCAGAGCCTGGCTGGTGGTAATGGTAACCACAATGAGCAGGTTGCCTGAGAGTGTTACCATGTACAGAATCAAAAATCCCAGAAATACTATATTCTGCATTGTGGGGTTCTGTGTAAGACCTATTAAAATAAATTCAGTCACATTTCTTTTATTTTCCATCTATGTGGTATAGGTGATTAAAACTCCAGGGAGGAATGCTTTACCTTTAAAAAAATGAAAGAAAGAAAAAAGGAACCATAAAATCATGAAACAGTCCAAAACTCTGACTTTTAACAGTACTCTAACAATCTCACAGATGATTCCTTCTCTTTCTAAAACTCTGAAGGAAAAGGTACTTCAAAACTTCTCTTAGTGGGCACTCAATTAAACTTCAATATAGTATTTAAATATAGTATTCAAAGCTAAGTTTTGCCACTTTTTCCTGGACCTCAGATTGCTTTATTCTCTGTATCTCAATGTACTCTTAAATGCCAAAGGCAGTGAAGGGTAAGATAAACTGTTCCTGTTACACATGGGCAAGGTACGGAATGAGGAATATGGAAAGAACACCTCTTCCAGATGATCCCACAAATTCTTCACTGAGAAGCTCACCTTAGAGTTCCAATGCCCAAGATAGTGGTCTCCATTCTGGAAGCCCAATGCATCAGAGAATCCTTCCAGGGACAAGAACCCTTAAGAGGAAAATTGAGCACACTTCTAATTGCCAACTCTTCTCTAGAGGAGATGGCCTTTGGGAGAACCAAAATTCGACTAATGTTTTTTTATAGCTTCTTGAAGGTCCGGGCTAAAAATGGAGTTTCATGGTCAAAATCAGACAGAAAACCCCAAATCTGACTCATTCATTATCATTATTTCATTTATTATTTCTTTCTTACCAATCTTGAAGTAAATTGAGTATATTTTTAAATGATTGTCTATTACAATTTTCATCTGTCCCATACCATATAGAAACAAACATACAAACAGAACAACTTGGTCTTATGTCAAAATTGATGTGTTTAATATCCACTATTAATTGACAGACTCAAGCACAGGATCAGTTTCTTTTCTTGTCATAGTCCAAAGACCAGTAGTGTAACTATTACCACTCAAACCCTCTAATTCCCACTTTTTTGGATAAATGAGAACCACAGAAAGGTGTTGATCTAGCAGGATGACCCTGATCTTCCATAAAAGAACCCTCAGACTGTAATTGAAAGTAAGGACCGAAGCAGACAAACTTCTTCCAAGCACAGAAATCTTTGTTGTTTAAATTCCATATACTCAAATATTCCAAAACGGAAACTTTTGTTATATCTCTGTTTTACCCCATTCTTAATAGCAGGCAGAGATTTGTTTTTATACTATATAGTTCCTACAATAATAGTTCATTTTTTGAGAGTTGATCCTGTGCTCGGCATTATACTAAGTACTTCACATGCATTACTTCACTTAATCTTCAAACAGTGCTATGACATAGTACACTGTTATCTATATTTTAAGTAAAATGGACCTCTAGTTAAGTGGAGATAAATGACTTATTGAAAGTGATAAGGATTTTTTAAAAAGAAGCAACTGTTTTTAAACCCCGGATGCCTGTCTCTAGCTCTTCAGCACTAAGTGCCTCTCCAGTACAGATACAGTTTACTTCTGAGAATCAGCCAAAGTCAGAGTTTGGACAAGTGGGTTGGTACTGAAAGCCACCTCCTGTGACCATATAAAATCCATGAAAGTTCTTTTGCTAAGCTATTAAATGTAGAGTCAGATGTTAATGAGTTCAAGGAGGCATAGAACACTAAAATTGCTATACTATACGTTAAAAATGCACCAGTACTTTGCATTTTATCAACATACATGCTCTAAAAGATGAGGATGCTGAGGTCCAGAGAGACAAAGTCCAAGAAAACACAGCTAATTGATTAGTATCAGACCACAAGAAAAAGTCTTCTAATGCTCAATACAATGATTTTTTTTTCTCCATCTTGCCTCCCTTAAGATGAATGTTTCCAAAGAAAAACCACTGTAAGGTGACAAAGAGAATTAACCTTCATCTCTTATCTTTAGTAATACCTATGTTGAATCCATAAGAAAAAGGGCTAAGTCCGAGTTAAGAATGCAAAAATTCCATCATATTGTTGAGACCACATCCACTATATCAGAAATAAGGTCTTACCTAAGTTAGAACAAAATCCAAGAAAGTTTAACAGTCAGAATAACAAGTGCCCTGAGCCTGGAGTTTAGTTTAATTCCCAATCTCAACAGGAGGTACATTCTTTGATGTAGATTTTATATATTAACCCATTCTCCTTATGGTTCTGTTTTAGGGCTTAAGATTTCCCTTAAGAAATAGAATCCAAATGTTGTCCTTCTCTTCTCTCTCATGCTGACCTATCTTGACCACAGTGAAAGTCATACACCCTATATTGGCTTCATCTCAAATTTCCCTTTCTGTCTTTTCAGTTGCCTCTCATCTCTCCTTCTATCACTAGAACAGATTCCCCCCACCACCACCTCTTTCACTAGAAATTATGAAAATCAGAGCACTGCTTCAAGAATATGAGTGACCATACAAAAGCCAATCTCCATCTCTCCAAACCACCATATCATATGCCCTATCACTGACAGAAATCCTTCAGGGACCATCTAGCTTCAATCTGCTGCCTTGCTGCACTGTCTCCAGGTTCAAAAGCCTAGCAATTGATTCAAGAATCCATAAAATGTGAAATTATTCCTGATACATTATAGATATATCTACATACAGTGAGGAGAACAAATATTTCTGCAAAACATCCTATATCATCCCAAATTGGTTCCCCATAAAATATCAAAAATAATATTTTAATGATTTTCATTATAAACCCTTTGAGGGAAAATGGAAATATAAGAAACTGGATTAAAAATCAGCAATTCTAGTTAACTTACCATGGTTGCCTCTGTTGTTAGGGAGAATGCTCAATGTATTTAAGAAAAAGAAATTACCATTATATACCGTTGTACAAATTTCACGGTATGTGCATGTATATTTCTCAAATCCCCACTGGCTAGACAATGGCATTTTCAAAGCTCCAATGCCTTGGAAATTCAAGTCAAAGAAAAAGAAAATATTGAATTTGAATTTGGAATCCAAAGTCCTTAGGTACTAAGGAGAATCTTCTGATCTTCAACACCTAGTTCCATGGCTATAGGAAAAAAAGACACAAATATTTCTATCACTTAATACCCCCCTCTTATTCTACCCTTAAAATAAGAAAACAGTTTCTTCTTGAACCACCATGTTTAGAGATGATACTGAGAACATCAAGGCTTTCTATCTAAGGCTTTGCTCTCTCAGGAATTAATTATAGGTGTTTTTTCTTTTAAGATTTTGCTTTAGAAATAGATATTTGGGAGAATCTGTCTATGAACAACACATCTTCACCTGAATGGCTCTTTTCCCTGAACTTTAAGTTAATGTATTAACAGCCTACATTCCTGGTCTATAAATTGTGTTGTAAAGCACTCCTCCTCCAAGCCCCTGAGTATTACGAAATGGAGCATGAAGGATGCTAAAAGCTGTAAAAATAACATGGGGTTTCATTCAGATCACATATCCCTGAGGAAATATCCTTCCTGGCTGAGGTCACTAGAGGAGGTTGAGATACTAATCCAATCTATTGACTGTACTATAAACAAACACGTAAGAAACTTGGGACTTAATATATTTTCAGGCAGAGTGAGATCTAGAGTTGGAGACCAAATTAAGGTAAAAATCCTTTTCCAACTTGTCTGATGTAAAAATCTAAAAAAAAAAAGATTTGTATACCTTTTCAATTATTTTTTTAGAAGTGTAGGAGTTCCACTGGCCACCTGAAAATAGAAACCTTACCTAGGCAGATTTCTTCAAATTTCTTCACACATAGTATTCTCAGGACAGTGGAGATGAGAACAGCCAAATATGTTCTGCAATCTTGCAAATGCATACTGAAGCAAATACTCTACAGCCTGAAAGAAAGGATAATGTTAAAATCACTTATTGTGAGAATTGAAGCAGCTGCTATATTTAAATGTATGGCTAGGCAGTTGATAGCAGACTGGGAAAATGTAATAGCTATCCTTACTGAGAATTATGTCCTTCTTCCCTTAATTTGGTGTAGTACATTGATTGATTTTCCTATCTTGAACCAACTTTGCATTCGTGGATCAATCCCACTTGCCCTTGGTATATAACCCTTCTTATAGACTACTGGATTCAATTTAGTAGTATTTTGTTGAGGATTTTTGTGTGCTTACATAAGAGATCTTGGTTATAGTTTTCTAGTGATAGCATTGTCCAGTTTTGATATTAGGGCAATACTGATCTTATTGAATATGTTCCCTCCTCTCCTATATTTTAGAAGAGTTTGTGAAGGACTGGTGTTAATTCTTCCCTAAATGATAAAATTCACTTCAAGGTGAAGCCATCTTGGAGTGAGTTTTTCTTTGTGGCAAGGCTTACTACTAATCCAATCTATTTCTTATAAGTATTTTCAGTTTTAGAATTTGCTCATTTCATCTAATCTATATAAGTTCTTGGTATAGAATTGTTCATAGGATCTCCTTATATGTTTTTTATTTTTGTAAAGCTGATAATAATGTCCTAGCTTTTATTTCTGACTTTAGTTATTTGAGTCTGAACTCCCTTTTTTTTTTAAGTCAGTCTAGCTAAAGGTTTGTCATTTTGGTGACCTTGTCAAAGAACCCACTTTTGGTTTGATTGTTTTTCTGTTGTTTATTCTTTACTTCATTTTTTTCCTGTTCTAACATTTATTTATTTCTTTTTGTTTGTTTTGGTTTTAGTTTGCTCTTCTTTTTCAAGTGTCTTAAGGGGGAATGTTAAACTATTTGAAGACTTCTATTTCTTTTTATTTTTATCATATATATATATATTTTATTGTAGTTCAATTGCCAACATATAGCATAACACCAGTGCTCATCCCATCAAGTACCCCCCTCAGTGCCCGTCACCCAGATCACCACAAATACCAAGGAAATACAAATGATGTTGAAAACCCCCCACCCACCTCCCTTTCCACCACCCATTGTTTGCCTCCCAGAGTTAGGAGTCTGTCATGTTCAATCACCCTCTCTGATATTTCCCACTCATTTTCTTTCCTTTCCCCTTTATTCCCTTTCACTATTTTTTATATTCCCCAAATGAATAA